GATGCGTACCTGGCCAGAGAAAGGAGAAGTAAAGCAGTTTCTTAGTGAATGAGCTGACAGAGGAAGTGGAAGCATGCTATCTTCCAGGAACTTAACAAGTATTACACACCAGCATGGACTAAAAAAGTTCCCAGGTTCCTCAATGTCACCAACACCAATGGTTTACAGATCCCCACGTTCTACTTCTAGCTAAAGTTACCGGAAGCTCAGCAGACTCCTTTGACAATTCCAGGAAAGCAGCCAATTATTTTGAGATTGGATGCTCTTTTGTTGACTGGAAAAACCCTTACGACTTGTCCTGCAGAGAAAAGGCATTTTGCCAAAAGCAGTATCTGTGTTATATTTGGTGACAACTCTCAGTTCTGCTTTCAGCAGGAGCCAGGAAGAATCACCTTTGCTTGCTGGAGAACAGCTACTGCTACTGCATGTGTATGATCAAAAGTGCTTCCATTCTTAATATAGGTCCTTACCAGACTGGGTTTTTTAAAGGCACAAGTTTTGCCATCAAACTCTAAGTGATGAATGGAAACACACTGAAATCAGTTTTTGATTCCAGGAACGTTCCCTTACAAAGACAGAGTGAGTGCACTCTATTCTTTATGGTGGCACTTGACTTCAAGCACAGAAATCTGAGCCATACAAAATTTTCTCTGTAATTGTTCCCTTCAGTGAGGAGATCATGTTGGTGTAGAGAATGAGGAAAATGCAGACCAGAACATAGGCACAGTGCAAGGGAATTAAAAAGAATATGGGCGTCTCCTAGCACAGGAACAGGCAGCCTCAGCAACTGCACTCACAGGAGTCACCACTCTGGAACAGAGATAACAAACCTTCCTCTTGCCCTTGGCCTTATCTGCTGAGACTGGGAGACATCAGGCCACAGGCAGGGCCCTGAAGAGGCACCGGGGCAGTCAGGCTGGCAGGAGAGGACAGCACTGCCAGTGCAGTGATAACCTTCTCTGCACTTCAGCGGGAAAGCACAGGCGCTGTAACTGCAGATACTATCTTGGGAGCTTTCCATCCGGAACAAGGATTAGTGTTCTTCACTTCATAGATTCACTTTAAAGATTCCCTCACTGCTTAACCTTTAATAACCAGCTACTCAGGCAGTCTTGTGGCAGAAAACAAAGGAAATGAGCTACCAAACAATAAATGTAAGTCAAATATACATTTACTGGGAAAAGACCCAGCAAACCCTGTGACTAACAACCCCCAGCACAAAGTTAGTCCACATATGCAAGCATTGGTTTTTAATCTCAAAAAGAGCTGGCCATAAAGCACTAAACTCCAGCACTAATTTCAAATTTAAAAATACTAAGTACAACAGCTTCCTGTAAATGGGTTCACCATCCAGTGACAAAAGTAAGCAAGTGTCTGCTTTTGCAGAGGAATGCATCTGCAGCTTGAAATTCAGCAAGGGGCAAAAAAAGGCACAATTACTGGTGGTGCCTGTGTAAGCTTTTCTGCTTGCATCAGAGGGCACCCTGCACTATGAAGCCATATTGGCCTACAGAGCTGAAATTTACCTGCCTTGCAATGGCAACACCCAATTATGTTTAAATATAAAATTGTGTTTGGAGAACCCTGTATGCCAGCATGAGGCCAGTTTTCTGAAGATGAGAGCCAAACCAGAATGGATTTAGCTTTTGCCATTTCACTCCCGCCGCAGTCCTGAGGGAGCATGCAATTCATGTAAATGAAGGCATGACTTTGCCACCCACCAGAATCAGTGATGTCAGCTCATAAATTTAATACATACAAGGCAAGCTCGGTTTTTTACGTTAAACAATGCCATGACTCGTTGCACAGAAACACCAGAGCAGTTACAGTAAGCCAGTCACAGAAGGGAGTACAGTAATGCAGCTGAACAGTATTGCTCTTAATTTGTTTCAATGTCATCTACACACGGGGCTTTGTGCTGGCCCAGAGCTCTGGTTTAGTTCCACCCATCCCTGTGCTCCACGTGCTCTCCACGCAAGCAGCCTTCCCCAGAACCACCTCTGCTGAGGAGTCAGCCCATTTCGTGTAAAAGGACATTTGCATAGGAGGAAGCTGTAGTTTTGGTGGCAAGGGTCATGCAATTTCAGTCCAGAACTGAGAATTACACTCAAAAGAACAACTTAAGAGCAGCTCAGTTAGCAGCCCGAGTTGCCTTTCACCTACTTTTTCACAAAAACAAATTAACAGGACCTTACACACACTGCAGATCCTGGCGTCCTGTAGGCCAAAGGATCGGTGTAATGGATTTCTAAAAGTGCAACCTAACTGGCATGAAGAACTCAAATGAAACTTACTACGACTTAGCTAGTGACAATTTAAGTGACACGGAAAAGGATTTTCAGATTGTCTGTAACATTCTCACAGTAAGTTTGGGGGTTGGGTTTGTTTCTTTTTTTAATTAAATTACCTCTGAGGAATTATTTGCACCTAAACAAATTAACACATTCTACAGTGTAGCCCTAGAATGAACTTTTATAGTGAAACTGAAAAGGCCCTCCTCTGCCTGTCACTTTTGTTACATCATTCCAATGAAAAGCAACTTTTCTGTGTGACATGTAATCATCCTCACCTTTCTTTAGGGAGCTGACTGCGAGAGGAAAGAATTAGCTGTGAAAATAAGAACACGCTTTGGACTTCCCCTGCTTGATTTACAGGCCAGGACTGACTGTTGCATTCCCCCCTGCCCCAGAAGTATTTTCCTAGGACGCTTTTTAAAGCCAACACAAATCTTTTCACCACCACCTCCTCATTAGACACCCAAGCCCCTCCTCGCCTGTACGCTCACGCTAGGCACGTTCTGGCCTGGGGAAGGTGGGTTTAATGCGGCAGTGAGCTCAGGGCGCTGGCTGGGTTACAGGGAGCGGGTGGGAGGCGGCGGCCGTGTCCCCGCGGCCCGGGAGGGCCCCGAGGTGACAGCGGGCAGCGCGGCGGGCGGGCGGCCCCGTACGCACCCTTTGGTCAGGCGGATGATGTCCCCCGGCTGGATGAGGCCGCCGATCTCGTCCCACACGCAGATGGTGATGCTGCCCGTCTTGTCCGCCACCTTGCAGGACCTCACCTCGTGCCCGTCCTTGGTCTTGGTGACTCGCCCTGCGGGGAGAAGCGCGGCTCAGGGGGGCACGGCGCCGCCGCCCCCCCGCCCGCCGTTACACGCGTGGGCGGCCCGGGGGTGGGGCGTGCCGGGCGCCACTTACCGATCTCCAGCACAATAAAGATGACATTTAAGTTTTTCAGTCCGGGTTTTATGTCTTTTATAAGGAAATACGTGTCGCTTGCCGCGCTCATGCTGCGGCCGGCGCGGGGGTGACGGCTAGCGGGGCGGGCCGAGCCCGCATCCCGCGGGGGAGCAGAAGCAGAGCGGGGCCGGGCGGGGGGGGGCACCGGTGACCCTCACAGGGGACAGGGACACGAGCACCGAGGGGCTGTGCGGTGACTGTGCGGCACGCCCGACCCCCACCGCTCCCTCTCCACACCGACACCACCAGCACAGCTCCCACCCCGCCTCCCTCTCCCGCCGGCACTGAGGAGCACACGTGCGCCGCGCTCCGCTTTATACCGGCCGGGCGCCACCAACCCGGGCGCCGGGAGGGGGCGGTTGCGGCGAATGGAATCGTCCGGGGCACGCGGAGCTCCGGGAGTGGGTAACGGGCGGGCGCGAGCCGGCGCCGCGCGCTGATTGGCCAACGCTGCCGCCGCCATCTTCTCCTTCCCGGGGCGCTGCCGCTGTTGGGTTGGGGCTGCCCGCTTGGGTGTGCTCCGTGTGCTCGGGTGTGTTCCCTCCGCTCGCCCTGCCGCCTCTCAGCCCCTCGGCTTCCCCTCAGCTTCCCCTCAGCCCCTCGCCCACCCACTGCCCTTCCTCCGGGCAGCAGCCCCGCGGCGCCCCGAGAGCAGCTGCTGCGGCGCCGCGGAGTAAGGGAGCCTTTCGCTGCCCTTCCGCGCCATTTTAAGCCCCGGCTGTAACACTGAGAGGAGCCTGGTCACAGGTTTCCCTGAGGGCGATTTCCTGGCGGTTCAGCCCTACCTCACTAGGGATAAAGAAATAAAGATTTGTGAGTTATTTTTTTGTTTTCCTGAAGAGATTTGATGTTGGTTTCCACCACGCAGAAAAGGCTGGTGTCAGGTGTGGGGCACCTCAGGGTTTGGCAGGGCTACACAGCACCATCCTGCCCCTGACATGTAGGGAAAGCCAGGGGTTGTGCAGGAGCCTGCTTTAAGCCTTCCTGTGCTCAAAATGTGAGCCTAGATCGTGATAAACACGAAAAAGGTTTCTCAAAGGATCTGAATTCTGCTGCCAGTTTCTAGAGGATATGTGTTACTCCCTTGAGCTTGGCTGTAGGCAGAGTGTAAAATACGAGGGAAGGGCAGCTTCTCCAGGCAAGAAGCCATGGAGGTGGTGGACAAGTCCCCACAGGCATTCTGACTCCCTTGGCTGGTGGGTCCCAAGGAAATAACTGTGCCACAGAGCAGCCCAAACACGTGCAGGTGGTCCTGTAAGCAGCTCTCCCCCTCAGGAAGGGTATTAGAGCAGGGTGTGTGCGCTGCTGCTCCTTGTCAGAGCCAAACCGAGCTAGCTGGGCTTTCCCTTTCTATTTGTGCGAGCAGAAATCCAGAGATGACAGCAGTTGTGAAATGCCTGGCCACACATTCTGCCACACGGGAGCTCTGGCCCAAGGAATTCTGAGCAATATTTGTGTGTAGGCAGCAGAGCAGCATTGCTGGGTGCCACTCAGGGCTCAGAATGAAATATACTGCAGGAATCTGAGAGTTTGCTTAAAGCCCCCCAAGAGCTCAATCCACTTCTCTACTGAACCCTTCAGTGAGTGCGGATGAGGGAAATGACAGACTCCCTCAGGGGCCTATCCTCTGGTGGGATCTATAATACGGTAGCACTAAAACTTTCAGAGTCATCAACTGTATTTCAGTACATGAATGGCTTTAATTTAGTCACTTGGGAAAGATTTCAAACCAAACTCTAGGAATGACAGTGTCTCTAGCAAAGGTTGGACAAAAATACTTTTACCTTTATTTAGAACTGGTAACAGTTTTTCATACATAGGTGGTTTTTCCGCCTTCACTTCTTCCTTTTGTCTGCCACATCTATTTAGAGCCCTTGGAAAGAATAATTTTGTATCCTGTGTTTTCAGCCCCAAGTATAATAGATTTGAGGAGAACCCTTCAATTTTCAAGGAAACCCCCCCCCAAAACAACCAGTTAAGAAAGTTTATTCACATTATGAAAAGCCTTGAGCAGAAAGGAAGTCACAAGTGTGGTTAGCTGGAAAGCAGAAAACACAAAAACACTTCACCAAGAGCATTTGTGTGCTGTGGTGTATCACCGGTGAGGTGGTTTCGGGTGAACATCTGTCCAGGAAGGCAAGTGCTGGTGCCCCAGAGGGGCAGAGGACACCAGATGTGGGCTCCAAGCCAGCTTACAGCCAGCACACCTGGAAATGCTGCACCAGGCCTGCAGCAGGGAGCGCAGGAACCAGCAGCAAGCATGGAGGAACTGGATTTATTTTATACCAAGGTTTCTTCTGAAGCTGCTAGGAAGAGATTTGAGCTAGAAATGACAACACAGCGGGAGGGGCCCAAGCAATCTAGGCAAGTTCAGGAGCACACTGACAACTCCCTGGCATGGCTGATCGAGGAACTAATCAGCAAGGGTGCTCTGCTGGACCTCAGAATCAGAGAAGAACTGCTTGCAAATGTGAAGGTGGGTCAGTATTTGGTCCAGTGCCTGCGAGACAGTGGAGTTCAGGACCCTGAGAGGGGATAGTGGCACAAAAGGTAAGAAAACTCTGATTTTGAAGAGCAGACTTTGGCCTCTTCAGGGATCTGCTTGTGACATGGTTCTGGAGATCACAGCATCCAGAAAAGCTGCCTGGTTTTCCAAGATTACCTGCAGGTGCTGCCAAGGTCCATCCGCAGCACAGAGAACAAGAGGGAGGCAGACAGTCTCAGTAGTGCACACTGACAGGGTGAGACACACAAGCTGAAACACCAGATACACCAGATTCCACCTGAACACAATTTTTTTTTTTTTTTTTTTTTTTTTTTTTTTTTTTTACTGTGAGAATGCCCCAAAACAAGTCAGTTGTGCAGAAAGGTGGTGGAATCTCACTCCATAAAGATACTCAAAACCCAACTGGACACCATCCTTGGCAACCTGTGCTAGATCACCAACCAATTTCATTGATTCTGTGATTCTGTGAAATATTTCCCGTTTTCTAAAATGCAAAAAGAGACACAGCTGCAGAAAGCTTGATGTGTGGGATAGAAAGGCAAGGTCACAAACTCCTGTAAGGGACTGGAGCTGTGCTGGAAAGACAGAGCTGGTCATCTGCTCCCTTACAAGATCCTTCCAGATTCATTAAATACATTGTTTACAGTGTCTGTTCCACCACTGATGAACAATTTTGCTCTGCTTGTTTCTCAAAGAGACACTTAAAATCTTGCTCATATTTTTTTAATCATTCCAATTGTCAGCCTCTGAGAGAGCCCTTGGTATTATCCAGCAGTAGCTGAATGATTCCTGTTTGCTGTGAAAGTGACCTGCAAAGCAAAACAGTTTTCCCCATTCTGCTTCTTTAAAATGTATAAGGAAATCAGAATTATTATTAATTTATTTTGGTTTTCCAGCCCCTCTTTTCCTGCTTAATTTTTGACCTCAGAACCATAAGGTTATCAAGTCACAGCCGTGGGTAATGGAAGCACCAGCTCTCCGACCTTTCTGGGGCTGTAGTCCCACAAACAGGAGCGGCACTTTGATGCAGGTGTGCCTGCATCCTCAAGAGCTGCCAGCAAATACTCTGGAGCAATGGATAGGCCTGGAAAAGGAGCTGGGATGCCAGGACAGCAACATACACTGTAAAGAGAAGAGAGAAGTACATTGTCAATATCTAGGGTTCCTGGTCTTTTGAAAATGTTGATGAGCACTGACTGCATGAATGAGTTACACTGAAAGCACCAAAACTTTGCTCCTGCCATTCACAGGAGTAACAGGGAGCATGTCAAATAAACTGTGATTGCAGCCAAGCATGAGCCCTTCCATCACTGAGGGAGATGAGTGTCTCTGAGCACCTTCATGTCTTACCACACAAACCAAATTTAGCCTACAGTGAATGTCTATAGCTAGAGCTCCACTGATGAAGTTTAAATCATTTCCAAGCTCATTTGCTTGCTGCAGAACATTTTTCTTCTGTGTGAAAGATGCAAGTGTTTCTAGGCTGAGATCCACAGGGAGGTTTCAGTCCAAAGCAAAATCAGGGTTGAGTTGCTAAAAGAGTTCTCAGCAGCTGAAGCCTGGCACAAGTCCCGTGCATCTCAACAGGGCTGGGATTTCACCCTCTGGCTGCAATGGAGTTACGCCAGCAGAGACATTGCTCCAAACTCCCTATTTCTGTCACTTGCTCAGTATTCAGTGCTACTGGAGTCCCAAAGTAGATCTTCCCACAACAAATCTGCCAGCAAGAGCAAAAGCTAATATGTAATATTTTATTGTATACAGAGATTAAAAATGTACAGATGCCTGCAAACGCCACCTTTCACCAAGCCTTACCAGCCTATTACCGTATGTCTGACAAGCCCCTAAATTAAGCTACAGGTTCAGGTTTATAACATTGATGACACTTCAGCTCCCTAATGGCACATCAGTGTGTGTTTAACAAGCTGGCAGCCAGTCTGGCAGTCTGGAGACCCCAGCAAACAGTAGTTTGGTGTCTTCAGCATCTCAAACACACCATATTCTGAGGGTCAGTATTTCCCCAGGAAAATAGGAGTGATGCCTGGGAATGACACACAGGTTTGAGAGGAACTTCTTCCAGAAGTCAGTGGGGCAGGTACATTGTGGAAATCCCACTCTGTTGGGGTCCTGTTCCTGACATAGGAACACATCCAAGCTGCCTGCTGCCCTCCTGCTGGATGCCTGAAGCAGGAAGTGCCTGTCAAGTGTCTGATGTCAGGATTCCAGGCAGCTCCATCTACCTCCCTAGCTGTTAGCTAGGAAAACTGAATGAGCATCAGGGCACTGTAAATACCACAGGGAAAAAAAAAAAAAGGGCAAGCAAACAATCAGAATTCGCAGCATTCTTATTCTTTCCAGAGGAGCTATGTGCCCATGTGGCTGCACAAATGTAGCCTTTTTTTTCCTGGGTTCCACACATTTTAGCACATGCTTTCATCTAAGAACCCAGTCCTCCAGGTGTTTTTGGAAGTTATTCATTTCCCTCTTTTGATGAATCCCTCACACATCAGTCAGAGACTTACATGAAATCACTGATGTGGGGCAGTTCTAGGTCACCTTTCCTGCTCAGCTGGGAATCAGCTTGAGCCAGAGGAATTTGGGTCTAACTTTGCCCCATACAGATGGAGAGCACAGGAGCTGGTGCCTCTTCATCTTTTCCACTACACTTCAAATGGACAAGTCTCAAAACCCACTACCACTCACTACTGCTGTTTCTTGGTCTCTGGTGAGTGCTGTAGCAAAACCTTGACCTCTCAGCCTTGCACCTTCATCAAAGTAATCTTTAATTAAAAGGTTTAACAAGTGCAGATGGGGGGATTAGCCTTCTCCCACTGTAGCTGTGCCAGAATAACTCACACTGTTTGCAGGGACTCCAGTCACAGTCACCTAAACCAGTTCAGTAACTCCTGCTTACATAGGGAAAATACCAGCTTTTTGCCAACAAAAATGCAGTGATCCCTTAAACTGTCCCACTGCCTAGGCTGATAGAAGAGACAAACACTGCAACTTGGAGGATGAGGGCAGTTCCTGTGGGACACTGGGCTCTGAGAAAGCTCTGCCTTCCTGACTGAGCCAAGTTCCTTGTTTCACACAGGACAGTTGGCACTGAGGCATTGTCTGAAGTGGCTCAGAAGCCCTTCAGGTGCCTTCAAGGTGAGCCCTTGCCTGTCAGTTTTAGCCAGAGGAGGCAACATTTCAGAAGGCTTTTTAAATGCCTTCTCCTTTGCCAGCCCTGTCTCTTCTAGGAGTGATTCCTGCAATCCATGAGCTTTTCCCATGGCACCCTTGGCAGCAGCCTGTTCCCTTGAAGATGATAAGGATCTTGTAACTCCTTCCACTGCAGGAGGGGTTTGACATCTCACCTCTTCTCCAGTGCCTGGGGGAGGTACGCAGACACAACACATCTCTGGCTCCGCAGAGCCTAATGGGCTGGAAGTTCAGCCTTGTTCTTGCATCATCTAATGCTGACCTTCAAAAGAAAAATAGGGGATTTATGTCCAGAAGGAGGCTTTGAAAATTTAATTTGGTTTGGATTTACTCTTTGAGATAGGGATTTATGTTTCTTTTCTATATATATTTTTTTTTTCCTGTAGCAGTGCCGGCTTCTTTCCAAAATTTTGGTGGTGATCTTAACAATATGGACTTCTACCTTTCTCAAATCTTAATAAGCAATAGGGTGTGTTAAAGATGGGTAAAACCCCAACCTTCCTACAGACATGTTCCCTAGGCAGAGGAACCACTTTGTTCACACTGCCAGAGCCGGCTGAAGGTGCCATGACCCCACCGTGCCCAAGGCTGTGGCCAGCCCTCCCCCTGGCCTGCCCGCAGCGCTGTGTGTGTGTGACAGCTGCATTCCTGTGCCTGCCCTGCCTAGCAAGGCACAGGCAGCTCCAACACCTGCTGGAGGGAGGGGGTGCGGTGCTGGGATGAGTAACTGTGGGAACATTAGCCCTCCCCTCGGTGCTGTGCAAACAAGGCAGCCGTGCTGCCGAGGATGTGGCTCACAGCTGCCAGGCACCAGGCACGGAGCAAGCTCCTATCTGCAGAAGAGCATGTAGACACAGCCTCGCTTGTTTAGCTCTGTGTTAACAGAGAAAAACAAATCCTAAGTGGACTAAACAAATCTCATCGTGGCAAAGTGCTTCATCAATTACTAATTCAGCCTCTGGCAGACTAATAGGGAGTAAAGCTGTTTACCTCAGAGTATGACACATTTTTCTTTCTTGTCTTCCCCCTGTGGCACCTGTAGATAGATTCTGCTGTGCAAAGCTTTGTGTCAGTGACTAATGAGAAACAATTGCTGCAGAATTCTATAAGCTGCATATCATCACTGCAATTAAAGACATTAGGAAAAGCCCTAAGAATCATCCACCTGGGCCAAAAAGTAAAAAAACATTCTTTCAGAACGTCAAACCTGATGATGCAGCACATTTCAAGAGCTACTGGCAACAAGAAGCGGTTTTGTACCACAGTTTTTGTATTTTCACTTCCATTTTATGACCATATATAACAACAACATTCCTGTCCAGGTGGGATAACAAAGGAAATTGTTCCATCTGAAAGCCATGAATATATGTGAAGTAAAATGGGTACTTCAAGTGGTCCTTTGGAATGAGCACCCCTGGGAAGGTACTGTTTGAAAGCAAGTTGTAGTTTGGGATCTTTTAAAAGAGGAATTAAAAAGCCTTACTCACAGTGACCTTTGTAGGTCACCATTTGACTGCATCCTGTGTTGTTGCCCCGTGTTGTGTGAGGTGTGGGAGGGAATGGAAAAATAAACAGAGTACAGTGAAAGCTTCCTAGGGCTCCCCAGCTCTTGGGCTTGCTGATAACAGACAGTTCAGGAACACAGGTTCCCAGATATTCCTGAATAATCCAGACAGGGCAGTGCAGAATAGGACTGTGCAGCCAGTGAGTTACTGGGCAACAGGCATTGCACATTGAATTCAAACACAGCTGAAAGGCACGTGCTCAGGAGGGGCAGCACGGCCGGTGATGTGGGCATGGCACTCCAGGGACAGAGCCAACATGGGCAGGACACATCAGGGACAGAGCCAACATGGGCATGGCACCCCAGGGACAGAGCTGGAGTGGGCATGGCACCCCAGGGACAGAGCTGGAGTGGCCATGGCACACCAGGAACAGAGCCAACATGGGTAGGGCACACCAGGGACAGAGCCAGCGTGGACAGGGCACACCAGGGACAGAGCTGGTGTGGCCATGGCACACCAGGAACAGAGCCAACATGGGTAGGGCACACCAGGGACAGAGCCAGCGTGGACAGGGCACACCAGGGACAGAGCCAGCGTGGGCATGGCTTACACAAGGACAGAGCCATCAAGAGCATGGCACACACAGGGACAGAACCAGCCAGCTCTGTATGATCCCACAGCAATCCCAGGCACAAAAGCTGTGCAACAAGCTCTGGGTTACCTGTGCATGACATCAGCCTCAGACCAGCTGGGTGAACCTTCCCTCCTGGCATCCTACACCTGGCCACAGGTTAACCTTTAGAGGCCTCATTTAGGTCTCCAGGAGATCCTACAAGAAAACAGTGCCAGTGGAGCAAGCACCAGGCACTCAAAGGGGATTTAACCCATGCAAATTAATTTGTATCCATTGAGTGACTGCAGGTTCACTTTAGGAAAGAGGAGTGTGATTCCTCACTGGCACTGCTGGGGAAATAGTTAATCCCAAGCCATCAGATGCCTTCACTGCTTTCATTTAAAGGGGTTTGCCAACTGGGTGCACTGTTGTAAAACTAGTACTACAGGAAATAATTATTGTTTCTGCTCTGCTGGGTCTCCTTGACCAACAAAAGGCTTTAGTAACAGTAAAATATAAGGTAATGTCTTCATGTAGCAAGTCACTCCATTCCCTTCCTGTTACTATTAGATATGTACAAAGGAGAGCTAAAGATTCGGTTCTTGTATGGGCTAATTGTTTGTGTGTTTTTAACCATAAAGATGTTGGTGCTGCCCAGAATACTTCTCGATGAGGTTACATTTAAAGCTTTTCTAAGAGTCTCCTCTTTGCTGCAGAGTGGTATTAGAATATAGAATATATTTTCTGCAAAAGAATAATTAATTATTGCAACTTAGCTTAACAAGAAAAAACAAAGTTTTATCTATCCAGAGGATCAAAAACTGCAGTTAATTCAGCTTGCAGTTGTATTATCTATTGGTGCCATAGTTTCATTATGTTCTCCAGGCAAGCCAGACAATACTGAAGTCTTAGCACACAAGAAAGTTATTTTGTATTGCAGATATTTCATTACTGATAATATGAATATTATCTAATACCCATTTAGCATCTTCCATAGATGCTTCCACAGGAGGCACATCATCTGTGCATTGTCATTTAGCCATCCATCCCTTACGCCAGAGCTTCAGCTGCTGTGATGCTGAATTGAGAGGCGTCAACACCTCAATACACAGTTCAGTAACCCCCTAAGTTATATCCTGATTCATACCAGATGCCATGTAAAAGAAGATACATAGTGACATACATCATGAATATTTTTGTACAGGTTTTCCATATTCAGGCTCCTTTTTATCTTGTGTTATATCAAGAGTTTTTAAAAAGTTCCTATAAGCAGGCTTTAACCAGATGTTAATTTCAGAAGCTTGATGGCACCATTCTGGTTATGAAATCCAGCCCTATGCTGGAACTATAATGAGACTTCAATGCATATGTTACATTAAGAAACCTCCCCTCAGCATTTGTCAGCCTAAGTACCAAGGTGAAGCCATGGCCAGAGGTGTGCATCTGTACATTTGCAGTGTACAGGGACCATGGAGCATTACTGAGATCTTGCTCTGGGATTGTACTGAGATTGCTGGTTGGAGTTTGTTTAGTCTGTCAGAGACCTTCTCAGCTCTGCCTCTGCTGTGGATGCTCAGCCCTATGAAACCCATTTGAATTCCCAGCAGTGGGAGCCACCCCTGCAGTTCCCCTCAGCCCCATGAAACCCATTTGAATTCCCAGCAGTGGGAGCCACCCCTGCAGTTCCCCTCAGCCTTCTCTGAAGCCTGCAGGGCACGGGTGCTCCCTTCTGATGGCCTCCCTGCACACCTGTGGAACCATGGCGTCATTTCCCTTCCTGCTATTTAATTTTCCAAAATGCTTATGTGCCAACACAACTGGGTTTCTTTTCCAGCCAGATAAGAAATGGCTTTTCCTACTGCAATGTGTTCACTTCCCTTGAGTTAGGAATTGTGGTCTTTACATACCTTTCTTTATTCCTCACATATTGCTGTATTTCTGAACAGGAATGTCAGTAAATCCCAAAGAAGGTTAAAAAATCCAACCAAGCACTATTGTATTACCCATTCCAGGTTTCTCTCCCTAGTTTTTACCCTTCACCTCTGCACTCACTGAGTCAGGTGGTCACTACCCCAGAGATCTCAGCTTTGCAGCTTTCCTTAATTAGCAGGTAGCAGAGCAACACATAATTAGCCATGAGTGTTGTCTGTTTTCAGCCAAATGATGCACCTGTAGAGGGTGCAGGGCATTCACGTGGAGCATATGTCACACCAGCCACTCCATGCTGGTATTACGACCATGCAGGCTCTTCCTGGGAGAGCTCACCAGGTTACCCAACACCTCAGCAGAGAGGTGTGAGACTCAGTGCATCGTTTTGATAGCCAGCCTCTAATTTCATGGGCTGGATCTGGCATGGAGGTGCCTGGGCTGTAAATCGCAGACTGGGTGAAGTGCTATATCGGAGGACTCAGACTTTATGTCAACCATCACTCCCCTGAGCCCAGTAGCAACGCTCAAAACATTGGCAGGAAACCCATTGCTAAGGGTGCATCCTGCAACTGAAATTAGCAGTGGTGGCTGATGCAAAACACTTGCTTGATTTCATGTCAAGACCCAGGAGTGGGAAATACTACCTTCTACCACAGCTTGAGCACAGTTATGTCAAAACAAAACTGTTTCATGTCCATGGTAATTTAATCATTTTCCTTCAGTTTGTCAAATAGAATATAAAAACTCCCCAAAACAGTTGATTTTGTTTCATCTTGGAATTAACATGTACCTGCCCAAGCTGCCAAAGTACTTCATAGGAATTACAAATAGGAATTTGAATTATTTCATGTCCCTGTTCTCCTACATGGACCATGTTCCCCCATTTAATTTTCCATCCCACTGTCCTCCCTCACCAGCAACAGGGCCTCATGTGGTTTCCTTGGCTACAACACAACACAGGAGTCGCTGCCCTGCTGGAAGTCTCAGCCACAGAGGAAAACTGAGAACACAAGGTATCCAAGCCACCAGTTCCCATGGACACTGCTGCTGCTCAGGCAGGGAACTTCTCTTCATGGCTGACCTGGCAAACACAGCCCCAGCATTGCAAAGCCATGATCTTTTTCAGGAAGGAAAACACCTCACCTGGGGACAAATAAGTGTCAAAGTACAACAGTTCTCCATGGGCAGAATTTGTTGTTACCACTCTCCTGCCAAAAGCCCACTCAGCCCTGTCCAGAGAAGGTCAGCAGGGAGGGAAAGCTGTCCTGCATGTTCTCTGTCAGCAGCAAAATGGACAGGCATCAGCAGTGACCAGGAAGGCAAGGTAAAAACTAAACCTCCTAACACAATCTGACATTGAATGCCAGAAAACCATCGGTGCAGCTTTCCTGGGCTTCCTTATCAGGCCTGACAGTTTTGCATAAACACTGCCAGCCTGTGCACTGCATGGCAGTGTCCCCAGGACTGCCTGTCCCCCCACTACACAGCTGTGCTGGCCCAGCAACCAAAGGGTTCATTCTGCTCACAGGGGTATCACTTGTTTGAAGAATCAGTCACTAGACACCAGGTAGTTTCCACAGCTGGTAATTAAACCAATTTGGACATCCAAAGGGCAGTTCCCTTGCCAAAGTGCAGCAGCTCCTGGCAGCCAGCCCTCCCAGCTCTCCTGCATCCTGCTGTTGCCATGGCAGCATGCAGGATGTGCACCTCAGTGCTTATTAGGCTCCAAGAAGCATTTCCCATGTGAGTTGGGCTGCACAATCACAAGCACATAACTGTTAAGCCATCATGGTATGAAAATTAGCCATGGCCACAATTACCCAAAACTTGAAAAGCTGGAAGAGCATTCATCTTTGTGCATTGGCTGTCCCCATTTAAGGCTTTATCTCTTGACTTGCAAAACACACCAATAAGCAATACTTGCTACAGGTAAACGACATCATTTATGTTTGACAAAGGACCTTTCCTTTCCTTTCCTTTCCTTTCCTTTCCTTTCCTTTCCTTTCCTTTCCTTTCCTTTCCTTTCCTTTCCTTTCCTTTCCTTTCCTTTCCTTTCCTTTCCTTTCCTTTCCTTTCCTTTCCTTTCCTTTCCTTTCCTTCCCTTCCCTTCCCTTCCCTTCCCTTCCCTTCCCTTCCCTTCCCTTCCCTTCCCTTCCCTTCCCTTCCCTTCCCTTCCCTTCCCTTCCCTTCCCTTCCCTTCCCTTCCCTTCCTTTTCGCTCTCCCTCTCCGTCTCCCTCTCCCTCCCTGTAATTCCTTTAATATTTACCCCACATGCAGTGTTTATTCTGCAGTTGGAAAGGAGATTCATCTGCTGTGGCTGTTTCAGCAAACCCTTGGAATTGCCAGCAGCAAATGTAAACTCCAGTGTGACCTCCTGGGTCTGTAAAGCCTGTTGCCCTCAATCGTAGTCTGCTGTTTTAGTTTTTTAGGATTCCACAGATGCCAGAAGTAATCTTAGTTTACATTAAGTACAGGCAGGCCAAAGACACTCTGCTGAAGCCAAGAGAGCTACTTGGACAAGTAGGGCCTACTTGCAGAGAAAGGATTACTGGTAGAAATAAGGATTAAAAGACTGAAGCCATTGGACTGTAAGTCTCTCTTTTGCTGTGTCAGGTCTTGATTATGTAAACCGGCCAGTGGAGCTGAAAGGCTCCCAGGATGACGTTTCCTGGAGATCACAGCCCCACCTACATTCGCTCAGGGTTATGCTTGGGGCTTTTAAAGTTTTTGTCATTTTGGAAGACACCCAAGCCTAATTACAGTAGAGACTGGGGGCTGCCAAAAGCACAGAAGCTGCTCAAAATGTCTTCATAGTGTAATATTGCAAAAGTGGCTCACTGAAGCTGAGCAGTTGGTCCAAGCTCTGGCTCCCCACAGAGGGGTGTATTACAGAGTGAGACAGTGACAAAGCACAGGTGGCAGTGACCCTTTCAGGGCTGTCACAACACCCTGCGTCAGAATAGAATGTGCACTAGCTGGCTGACACAAGGGTCCTCCAAAACACATGGGGGACAAGGTCACAAACAGATGCAGGGTGACCCATATGTTAATGCGAGACATTTGCAGCAGAGGGGGAACACTGCCATGTTCAGTCATGTCACACAGCCACTGCTTTGGCCCAATGACTTGGCTACAGTCTGGGATGCTGCCCCTGCCTCCTGCTTGTTAGCTGGGACACAGGGAATTTTGCCCAGATCATGGCCTGGGAGTGTGAGATAGAGTGGCTCTGATCTCTTTCTTTGCTTCTTTCCTAATTTAAACTACAAGTCTGCCTTTTACGATGCATCAGTCACCAGTGAATTCTGGTCTTCTGTGCAGGGGTGGACATCAGAGCCCTGATGTCTGTGCTGGATGGGGGCTGCCTCTGGGAAGGACTGTCCTGCACACATTGCCTCAATCCTGGCTTCTCTCTGGCCATGTGCAATGCTCCTAGGGAGGACCTGCAGCCTGCTAAAACTGCTGTGCTGGCAGGAGCCACAACCTGCATGGGATGGGGGGGGGCAATGGGGAAAAGGTCCACACAGGGACAGAGCTGAGAGGCTTTTCCTAGGAGCCTCCAGCAACAGCAGCTTTTCAAACCCCCACATATGTGCAAGCCGATATTTCAGTGCCTGCAGGTTGCTATGGACAACCAAAGATTTCTAAACTGCAGAGCCCCAACACTCCGTACACTGCAGTAACACTTGGCATTGCTGTTACCAAGAGCTCCATGTTGGAAAGTAAAGAATCCTGTCACCACTTTTCAACTGAAGATGCAGAGGGTCCGATCAGTGTGAGGTGAAACCGATCCCTGAGGTAACCCCCACCCATTTAAATGCTCTAAAACCTGAAATCACCTCCTCAAACATGCAGCCCCTTCAGACAGCCCACACAACAGCAGGGGCAAACTGTGTGGAAGCAAGTCACTGGGATGAGCATGTTCTAGAGGATGACAGGGGAATTAATGGGGGGAGAGATCCACAGAGTCAAGTTCCCCAGGCATGTAATCCTGGCCGCAGAAACTGCAGGTCTGAGCTGACTGCACACACAGCACTGCACACCTGACCTGCAGGTGGGACCTCTCCTTTGCAGAGGGCCTGCCACAGCATGCACCAAGGCTTGTGTTCCCTGGCCACCCGTTCCCTTGGGAAGAGGAGTGTCCTTCCCAGCCAAACAGAGGCGTAACAAGGCTCCTCTTACCTGGCTGCACACACAGCAAGGGCTGTTCACACAGCCAGGATGAGGATGGGACAGCATGCAGAGCCTCTAAGACCTCCCCATCCACCCAGCTGGCATCTGCCTTGTGCAGCCCATCCTCACACAGTTTCACGAATGAAGAAAACACACCCACAACTACTTTCTTTGAATCTATCTCATGAACATTAACGAGGTGTTATTAAGGCTGTGCCTTCTGGATGCAGAGGTGCCACTGCCTGCAGTAAGAGTAGGGGAAACAATGTGGAGCAAAATGATCTGCCAACATCATGCAGGAGGTCTGTGGCAGAGCTTTGGCAGACTTGGGTCTCCAGAGCCTGCTGAAAGCATTGCAGTTTCTGTCAGGACCAAGATAACTATGAAATGTAGTTACTCCCATTTTAAGAAGGTGAAAATGCCTGTGTAGTCTGCACTCACAGAAACTCACCCCCTACAACCTCTTACCATAAGCACAGAAATGCACTTTCATTTGGTCTAAAATGAAACTTGTGACACAGAAGTATGCAGAATAGTTAGTAAAAGCACAATCTGGACCATTATTTGACTTGGCACGGGGAGAATTTCAAGGAAAAAATCTAGGAGTAGGTTTTGCTTATCCTACTCCATCTATGCTCAATGCATGTCCTCCTCTCTTTCAGCAGATCTACAAAGTGCCACCTAATTTATCTTCCCACTGACACAGGCACAGAGAGCACACCTCCATGATTAATGGACTTTTACCCTCGAGGAGTTGGTTACATTGCAGCAGACAATGAGAGATTTGATTACCGCTAATACGATATTGACACAAATGTCAATGCTCTGAGACACACCATATCATTTTGAATCAAGGATCCCTTTCATCACTGTTATTTTTGTTTGCTTCTTACATTTTAATAAGCTGTTTCTCTGTGTATTACCCAAATACTCCAGACTAAAACTACCTGGGGACAATTTAGTTTTCATCTAACATTTCATTTAGTAGGAGGTACCTTTAACAAAAAGGTGTTTGTGCTCACATAGCCCTGTTATCATTTAAATACACAATGCTCCAGCTGAAAACTGTGGTCAGCTGATGCCTTTACCTTAGTGATAACTAATCTGTTGTTTTATCAAAATCAAATATAGCAGGAAGTGGGAATAATGGCTTTTTCTTTTTTGTCTCTGGAGAATTGTACTGATCAAATCAGCCAAATCTTGACCAGTCAAAAATTAAATTAAGCTTGTCAATCGTGTGAGGTAGCCAAATAACCGAGGCAGTCAGAGCCACAGGTGGGATCTCTCCTTGCAAAGGGCACACACAGCATGAGCAGAGGCTGCAGCTGGCCAAGGCTTCTGTTTCCCTGGCCACCTTCCTTCCCAGCTGGGCAGGGGCACAACAGGGTACCCTGCTGGGCTGTCTGTGGGAGCAGAGACTCCATGAGAGGCTGAAGGGCTTTGGACTCAAATGTCTTTACTGGTTCTGGATTTCCTTAGCCAGGCTGCTGGTTTTGGACTATGGGGCCTGACTTGGTCCTTACCTCCTGGTTTGGCTGATGGAAGTGGGCCCATGAAGAAACCCTCATTAAATTCCATACCTTCAAGAAGGAATTAGCTTAGCTTCTGACACGATATGTTGATAAGGACTGGAGAAATAGGCAGGGTGGGAAAATAAGCAGCATTTCTGGGGATGGGGGCTCTTAATGGAACCCATGCAACCATTAAAGATCTTAAACTCAGCATGGAGGCTACACAACAAGTTGTACCAAGCCTTGAAGCTGATCTCACTTCTATCCAGAACCTAGAGCAGAGGAAGAGGAGGAGGAGGCAAGAGGGGAGAGTCAAGCCTTATGTCCAAGTGGCAAAGCTCACTTTAAATTCTAAAGCTGTGCTTCAAGAAATGAAAGCAGAGCCCAGGCAAAACAAACACAGAGCTTACTTGGGAAAAACCTGACTGGAAACCAGCAAAACCAAAACACTTTAAGAGCTAAAGAAATTTAAAAGTAAACTCTCTATGCTTTTTATTTATAGATTACAAGTTCAAACATTGTAAAACCATTTGTAACCACCTGAAAGGAACAACGTATGAGATAGAAATGTACCGTGAGGCTGCTAAATAATCTCCTTGTCTCTGTACTGCTGCAGGATGTGATAGGGTGCATCTGCATCCAGCCTCCTTGGAGCAATGGACTGGGGCACTGTCCAGATGGGGCTTGAAAGAAGGACACAGAAGCTCAAACTGATAAATAAAACAGAAAAAAAACTTCCCACAGGACACTGAAATTATGGTTCTGCTGTTCATGCTGCCAGTATCAACTCCATTAAAACAACCATCTACTTTTCTCCTTCAGACATTATGGGCCTCTGACTTGTTTGGTCTGACAAACATGTTATACCTTCTGGCCAGCAATTACTTACATGGCCATTTCTTTCTTCCTCAAGACCTAGAAGTTCTCATGACCCAGTGTTATAACAGATTTGCTATTTACTGGCAACAGAGTATTAAAAATCCAAAAAGAAGGAACTGAGTCAGACAGAAGAGCAATTTGAAACTACCTTCAGGCATGGGAGAGAGTCAATTTTATAAATCAGGAACACAGTCCAATAGAACAGAGAAGAAAAGGCTGATTCTGAGTCTGCCCATGTGCTCTCCAGCCATAAAAAGTCACAGGCTCCAGCACAGTTCTGCTCTTCCCAAATCATATTCCAACTCCCAGAACACTGTAAGGGAGGCAAAAAAGATCACTACACAAATGGCTGGTCATTAGTTCAATCTATCAAACAACCAGAGCCAAGAACTGCAATTACACCACTGAATATAAAAACTGTATGGAAATACCATCCTTTTCACACCCCAGGCTATGAGACAGGCAACAGCTGTGACAAGGAAAAACATTCCCTTCCTCATCACTGGAGATTTAAAACACAGAGCTGGACAAGAACCTGCCTTGAAAAGAAAAGCCAGTCCTGCCCTGAGGCAACAGGGTTGCCTGAATAACTTAGAAAATGTTGTCCAAGCCCTGTTTGCGTGAGCAACACTTCCCCAGTGCAGCAGGGACTGTCCAGCAGCGTGTCTGCTGCAGATGAGATCATGGTTACTGCAGTAACCACGGTGGGTTTCTTTTTGAAGGGAGAGACGGGAGGTTTTTTCACTCAAACTGTAAGAATGCTCAACTCACATGTTTGGAAGGCTGCTGCTGCCAGGCTCTGCAGACTAGCCCTGAACCAGACAGTGACAGCAAAGTTTGGTCCTTGTGTGGGTGCTGGGGGCATCCTCAGTACAGAGCTACAGAGCTGAGCACTGCTCTCACAAAAGCTTTGAGGGGAAAAAATATTTTTTAAAAATGCTCACACAAATCTCCTCCCTCCAGATTTTAAACCTCCAGGTTTTAAAAATGGCAAATTAAAACCTAAGTGAAACAGGTACAGAGACAGAGAACCAGGACAAATAACCAAGAGCATTAAGGGGTCTCCTTAGCAGGTGGGGTGCAAGCTTGGTGTGAGACTGGGACCTGCTGTGCACCCTGTAAATCAGAGCCATGGACTGCCCTCTGCAGTGTACTTAGACAGAGTATGTTCCTAAGTCACTGGGACTGCTTTACAG